CAGCAGGAGCAGCAGCAGCAAAACAAATAATTTTTATAAAGACAGAGTGGCTGTGCTGCGGCAGACGAATACATTTTACTTCGATAGGCTGCTGCAGCCTAATATACCCAGCCCGGGTGTACGTACACCCCAGATATGCTGCTGCTGCTGCTGCTGCTGCTGCTGCTGCTGGTGCTGCAGGAGGAGGGCAGTAGCAGCAACGGCAGCAATAGCCGCAACTTTCTCCTGCTGCTGCTGCTGCTGCTGCTGCTGCTGCTGATGGGGATACACGTCCAGCTGCTTGTCTTCCTGCTGCTGCTGCTGCTGCTGCTGTTGTTGCTGCTGCTGCTGCTGCATTCTGTCGGCCTGGATCTGCTGCAAGCCACTGGCGGTATGAGGCAGCAGCAGCAGCAGCAGCAGCAGCAGCAGCAACAGCAACAACACCAGCAACAGCAGCAGCAGCAGCAGCAGCAACAGCAGCAACAGCAGCAACAAAAACATTAGTTGCAGGCAGATATCTCTTTTCATACATTTCAGCATTTCTACCATCTAGGGTTTAGACTCTAGACTTCAGGGTTTAGGGTTTAGGGTTTAGGGTTTAGGGTTTGTTGTTTGTTTACTCTTTATTGTTTATTGTTTATTGTTTATTGATTAGGGTTTACTGTTTATTGTTTATTGTTTAGGGTTTATTCTTAATTTTAGGGTTTAGGGTTTAGGGTTTAGGGTTTTAGGTATAGGGTTTAGGGTTTAGGTTTTAGGGTTTAGGGTTTTGGGTTTAGGGTTTAGGGTTTAGGGTTTAGGGTTTAGGGTTTAGGGTTTAGGGTTTAGGGTTTAGGGTTTGCATACAACTTCAATTTTGGCGGGTCCCTGAGCGACAAACTGCAAACAAAGAATTCTGCATAGCCCCCCCAACGCCAGCCCCACCTCATATCCTTTTCTCTTGCTGCTGCAGCAGCAGCAGCAGCAGCAGCAGGAGTAGCAGCAGCAGCAGCAGCAGCAGGAGCAGGAGTAGCAGGAGCAGGAGGAGTAGCAGCAGCAGCAGCAACAGCAGCAGCAGGAGCAGGAGCAGGAACAGTAGCAGTATTAGAATCCGGGATATGCTGCAGCAAGTGCTGCTGCTGCTGCTGCTGCACCAGCTGCTGCTGC